TTGATGACCTCAATCTCAGGGCGATACTGCTCATAAATACCCTTGAAGATGGCCTTGAACGTGCGATCCAGCACACGCAAGACTTCATGGTAGTGTTCATCAATCTGCATCTCGAGATCGAGACCGGTGTATTCAGTCAAGTGTCGGTAGGTATTACTGTTCTCAGCACGGAACACGGCGCCAATTTCGTACACCCTGCCAAAATCTGCAGAGATGGCCATTTGCTTGGCCAATTGGGGGCTCTGGGCCAGGAAAGCGCCACGGCCGAAGTAGTCAATCTTGAAGACACTGGCGCCAGACTCGGTTGCACCACCTTGCAGCTTGGGGGTGTGGATTTCGATGAAACCCTCCGAGTCCAAGTGGTCGCGGAACAGCCTGCAAATTCCAGACTGAATGCGGAAAATGCCCTGTGATGCAGTTGTCCTGAGGTCGATTACGCGGTTGTTGAGACGAGTGCGGTCAGCAATCTTGACTCGGGTATGTCCCTCCTTGCGTTCCTCCCCGGCCAGCTTGGCGGCTTCAGCGTCGACCTCCGCCTGAGATACTTCGGCTTCGTTAACGTTGAAGGGAAGGTGGTCTGTAACTGAGGCTTCGACGTGCAAAGCGTGGACCGAAATCTCGACGTCGTGGATGGTGGCACCAAGGACCTCGCCCTGCTTGGCCTTGGGTTCTTGAAGAATACCTTTGACAATGACCACCGTCTCTGCGTCGAGATGCTCTGCCCAGTACAGCATGTATTTGGAAATATCTGCGTGCTCCATAAGAACGCCCTGAATGGTAGCGAGCTGCTGGCGGAACATGAGGAAGACAAACTTGGAGCTCATCTTTCTCAGGTGGTGGATGCGGGCACGGAAGACGACTTCCTTGCCAACATCCTTTGCGGAGAAGTCCTGGATCTTGTGGCGAGGCTCGTGTTTCCATTCGCCGGCGTAGCTGTTGGGAGGGATGACACCGTACTTGGCCCTCTGCTCGGGCGTGAGCTCAGCAAGAGCCTGTTGCTCCATCTCCTTCCTACGGCGCTCGAGCTCCATCTCCTTCTCGCGGTTCTGCTTGTAGCGCTCTTCTTGCTGGGCCTGTTTCTCATGCTTGCGCAGCTGTCCGCGGGACATGGGCTCGCCATCGCGGTTGAGGGGCGTATCGTCGTCACTGGAGTCGTTGCCAATGTGGAGCTTCTCCTTGACGGCGCGCATAGGGCTGCTAGCAGAGAGGGAGCTTGAGCGCTGGTGGGAGTTTGCCTTTGCGGATGAGCGGTTGGGGCTATCTGTGCGGCGGTGGAGGATGCCGCTCAGGGAACCACGGTGCTGCCCGTCGAGGCTGCTCCTGCTCTCGGTAGGCGAGGAAGGGTCGTTGCGCTTCAGGTCGGCACTGGCGCGGCCAGTGGGCAGAGTGACGGAAGAGCGCGGAGTGCTGGCGGGTGAGCGTGCTCTGCCATTGGTGTTGGGCGACTTGACGCCGCTCTTGTCGTCGTCGGAGGCAGAACCGCTATGGCCCGGCTTGAGTTTGTCTAGCGCTTTCTTGAGAGAGCCCATTGTTGCAATGGTGCGAGAGCTGTGCCCGTTGTGCGTGGTTAGACTACCTAGGCGCAGAGTGGGGCAAGCCGACGCGGGGGAGATGCTTGGAGAGCAGAGAGCAGGCGGGAGGAGCGACCTGGGGCGTTGAGAGAAAAAAAGGAACAACTGAAGTCGAAGAGCTAGTAGCAGGCGGCAGAGCAGATGCGAAGTTCAAGTATAGCAGCTAGCCGGCCTACGGCGTGACGGGCACGGAAGGCGGAGGGTGAATCGGCTATGACGTGAGAGCGTACGGGCAGCAACACAACAGACTAGCTGTGCTAGGTTCGTCCGGCCCTAGCGCGGCAGAGGCTTAGGACCGATCCGAGGGAAGGCGCAACCCTTGCGCAAGCGTGACGTAGCCGGCACGCTTCTAGACTGCTAGACTGCACGTCTTGTCTGTGTGGAGTAAGAGTGTCGAGTATCCAGAGTTGCACCCACGAGCCCGCGGACTCGAATGACAGCAGGCGTACGTGCGGAACGGAGAGCTGCTGGCAACAAGAACTGGCGACATGGTGGAGTAATAACGCCCGCCAGAAAGCCCCAGGCCACCAGTGTCTTCCGCGACTGTCCGCTGCTACTGCTGCCACAGCTGACACATCTTCCCCATGCGTCCATTGTGCTTCTCCTTGTGGCCAGGCGTGTGCTGACAAGCATTGCTTCGTTGCTTGGAAAACTCTTCGGTCGGGCCTCGACACCCCACTCCAGCCATGCCCCTGCGCCTGCGCCTGCACCAGTCGGATGAGCTGGCTGTACATGTCCATGTAGACATCGTCCATGTAGCCAGGCCGTACAGGATGACGAGCGTCAATGTCTGTCTGTGTCTGCACTTGCCGCCGGGTGAAACCGGCCCTAGTGGCCGTGGTTGGTCGCTTCCTCCCAACTCCCTGCTCATGCACTTTGTCGCCCGCCCCATGGCATTCTCTCCTAAATCCATCCTCCTCGCCCAAACACCCGCCAACACTCAGCCTTCACCTATCCCCCATCATGCACATGGCACAGAAAACCGGTTCCCTTGCGCCGCTGCATCACATGGCAATCGCCAGCGCATACCAGAATCCCGATCAGCCACAAGCTAGCCTACATCGACGATCGTCGTGCTAGAGAACAGGTTCTGCCAGGCACACTGCGTCCCTGGGCATCGCCCTCCAACCATGCAATCACCCACAGCTCTGCCGGTACCCGCTCTTTTGCCCCCTAACCACCACTCTACTCGGCACATGGCTTTGTCGCTATCATGGGCTACTGCACGCCGTGTCGAGCATAAATCATCAATTGCCTCTTAGTTGCGAGCCGCTACTATGCATCCGCTAAACCTATCAAAGACAGCCTCCGTATATGTGCCTGCATTCACAGAGCATATTAATCAAGTATACCAAGTAGGCTCTGGAATCTCGTCCAACAGTGCAAACCGTCCCAATTCCCGATTTTTATATGCGACAGGATCGTGTAGCGTGTGCGTCCTGATATCTCGCCAGAATCGATCCAAGCCCACCTTTTGGCTCGTCGCCTTTGCTCCGGTGACTTCAAACACTCCCGAAGTAACGCGGAGGCCAGTGTCTGTTGCGACCACTTTGAGGCTTGCCACCCATTCTGCCAGCTCGCCTCTCTCGCGTGCCGTCAGCTTTGCACGCCTGTCCAAATCACCTCCGTAGTTCTGGTAAATAGCGTCGACTTCTTGGCCTGCGCGGTCTGCAAGGGCAGAGGCGGCACGGAGATGGGCATGGAAATTGCCATAGCGTTCGAGAATGTAGAATTCATCCGTCGCCTTTTCCTTGTTCTGCTCGCGCCATTAGCAACACATGTCAGACTTTGTAGGTACTGGTGTGCTTACGTCGCCGCCAAAAGGCCATGCCCGAGTCCCTTTCAAAGTGTACTTGGCAGCGTATTGCTGTGCACCAAGAGCAATGCCAAGATAGAAGTTACTAAAGACAAGCTGGATGGTTGGGAGAAGCAGTGTTGCAAACGGTATCTGCAGCGCGCGTGGGTCGGGTTCCTTCTTCTCAATGTTCCAGCCCAGCGCATCCGCCCACGGCACACGTACGTCAGAGATCTTGACACTGCCAGACTCCGTCAAACGGAGGCCAATGTTGTTCCAGTCATGTCCGAATTGGATGCCAGGTTGGTCTGTCTTTGCAAAGGCGAAGATGTGGTTCCTAGTGTTTTCGTAGACACCCTCAAGAACAGTAAGGTCAGAAACAACGCCACCCGTGTTGAAGAACTTGAACCCATTGAAGACAATGTTGTCGCCATCGGATTTGATGGAAAGATCACTGTCTCTAGGATTAACGGCGCCGCCAATGAAATAGTTGTTCTCGATGATGAGCTTCTGGATGCGATCGGCCTGTTCAGCTGAACCGACAACGTTTGCTGTGGTCGACCAGAGAAGGTGGTAGCCAAGCAGCATGCCAATTGAGCTACGTCAGTTAGTACGCATATTCAAACATATCAAGTAAAACCATACCCATCTGCTTCAGCTACCTTCCTAATCGCTTTGTAACCTTATTCCAAGTCAGTATCGGTTGCTGGTATATCAGATACATGAACTTGCCAACACTCCAAGGTTGACCACCACCACCGTACTGCTTTGGGCCCAGAACTTTGAGAAGTCCAGAGTGCTTGAGCAGAGCTACTTCGGCTTGGGGAGACTTGTTTTCTTGGTCTCGCACAACAGCATCAGCAGCAAGAACGTCGGCGACTGCTTGGGCACGTTCAAGCCAGCCCGCTTCATCTTGCGGAATCGACGACCATGTCTTCTCATACTCGGCATACACAGCCGGGTCTCTAAAGTTGACGTGTTGCGCGTTACCCGCCTGGCCGTTAGTTCCGTTAGTCCCGTTAGTGGCAACCATCGTGTGCGTCTGAGTTGTTGATATCTTCTAGCTACGTGGTGTACAATCTCTACATTCCTGTACATATCTTTATATGCACATTCTTGCTGACACGATTTTGGGATCATACCATATCCCAAACGTATTGCGTGCTATCCTTTCATTTTTTAGACATATGCGGGGGCATGGTTCGCTCAATGAGCAGGGCATGGTGGTTATCAGAATGGATGGGTGTAGACAAGGATGTCCCGCCGAGCTCGTACATGCGTCCAGATCAGGGTTGAATTGTCTGCCGGTACGCAAATGGAGCTAGCGTAGCTTTGATCCCGTAGGGTAGATCGCCAATGCAGTAGCGTTCTAACACTCCAACATGTGGGCATGGCATTCGGACGCCGATCTTCGCAGCGACGGACACATGCATCCTTGTATTTGTGCTAACCTAAATGTAGACTGTAACCCCGATAATTAAACTCACCACCGACCCCGAACCGCGTTCGCCATCTAACCCCTCAATCGCATCATCCTCAATCCAGCTTTCCTACAGGCCATCAGTCTCCGAAAAGCTGCACGTCTCCAACGTGCCTCACATTACCCCAACGTGAGGGGTGGTGCTGCTAGCCGCCTACTCCGTCTTCCTGCTCTTCGCGAAGAACCTTGAAGTGTCTCCAAGTGGTAGCTCAACAATCGAGTCCTTTAGCAACAGGGCGAACTCCAGGTACCATCCTATGAAATGGTGTACAAAGTCAGTGTACGTCTCATATGCAATTAACCGACAACAGGTGCTTACCGGCCAACCCGGACAGAAAGCAGAAAGCCCCACCACCCTTCTTGAGAGCAACTGAGGCACCGGCATGCCCATCTGCCACAGCGAAATAGGATGCAGCGATCAAGAGGAACCCCAGCTCCACAGTAAAGAAGATGATGATGTATACCAAGTTTGTCGACAATGATGCTACCAGGAACACCAACGCAAAAACCGTCCACACTATTTCTTGTTAGCGGCGCCGTCGCTTCTTGACCGTCTTGAGTAACTGACTGATCATGAAGAATCCGAGAGCATTATTGAGTTCTTTTACGTTATCTCCATATGCCGCCACAATCCCAAAGGATGGAGTCAGGATCGCACCGTAACCGGCGTAGAACAGTCCTTGCCACGAGTCAACCAACATTCTTTAGCAGTCGGGTGGTCCAACATACCAAAGGCACTAAATACTGTATATCCGAAGCCATTGCCTACGGAGAGCTCCCACTGTGCAGTAATCACCAGGCCTATCTTGATGTTAGCCACATCTTACAAACGCAATATATGCCAGTTACTTGCCAAAGGCGGCCGCGAAGAAGAAATTGGCTACGAAGATATTGTTCGTGGTAACTCCTCGCCATTCCATTAAACTAAATGAAAGTGCCGTCAGAGTCGTCGCAAACACCCCGATTGGAAGTGCCGTCTTCACATCTTAGCAAAATCGTGTGTCTTATGGTTAGCACCACTTACTCCAGAACCCAGTGTCTTCCGGGCGGGAGCTGATACGACAGGTGCCTCGTAGGTGACCTGCCTTTCGATATCAGTATGTCCTGAGCTTTTCAAGTCGGTTGCCGAAGAGTTAGCCATGGCTGTCTTTGTGCATGAGAGGATTCGCGTAATCTCCTGGATCCAATTGAATGCCTTTTGTACTGAACCGAATCGAGCATCAATTGATGTGGCATTAGTCTCGGCGTGCTCGACACTTGCTACCCGTGTGTATTCATCGCGACTGTTGGAGAATGAATGGCGTGATTCGGCCTTACTTGCAACACTGGGTAAGGCTGTGCATCACATTCGAATTTTCATAATCCCACGTTTCTTCGAAATGCACTATATCATCCAAGTCATTACACTATAGCATAGCGTGTACCTTGTTCGGCACTACAATCTACGACAATCACGCCTTCGGCTTTCCAGATTGTCTCATTCTTTCTAGACTTCAGGTCGTTGACATCCAACCAAAGAAGCAGTGGCTGTAAAATAGGCTATCATAGGAAATACTAGGATCCTAGAGTCAAGACGAACTGAATTGGGGCAAGATCGTCAGTGGAGAGGCGGCTATCTATGGACCTGGATTATAGTTCACCTACCTGGTCTAATCCCCCGTCAACCCCGCAGACCTCACGTATGCTTGCATATCACGCAATCTACGCTTATAATGCGCAAATTTGGTCGACAATGCTTTATTCAGGGTCAAGATAGTAGGACGTTTCGTTATAAGACCTTTCGAAATACAATTCGATTATCAAATCCGTTTTTGATAATCATTTCCACGAAACAGACATGTCGCCATCACGCAAGAGACAACGGACAGGTAACATGGACGGAACATAATAATCAAAAAAAAATTATAGCTTACAATTTCTTTGCAGAAGTCGAAAGTAGCAGTACAAACGGCACCAATGGACATGCGAATGGAGCAGAAGACAGTTTCACGCCCATAAAACAATTGGACATCAACCAGGATCCAGATCGTGTACTGTTTGCGTGAGCAGCCTCCTGTCGAAATTGAAATTTATCGCATACCCTAATCTTGGGAAATACAGATATTGGGTTCCCAACGTCTCCGGTGGTCTCGTAGTTTCCAAAATAGCCCAAAAAACCAAATGGGACCTCGCATCAAATGTGCGGTACGCCAGGACAGCCGAAGAGTATGGATTCGAGTATGCGCTCACTCAAGTCCGTTTCACGGCATCATATGGAGCAGACAATCAGCACGAGAGTGTTTCTTTTTCCCAGGCCCTATTGCACAGTACTGAACGCCTCAAACTGATTGCTGCTATACTTCCCGGCGTATGGAATCCAACTATTGCAGCAAAGCAGCTTGCGAGTATCGATAACTACAGCAACGGGCGCATTGCTGTCAACATGGTTTCGGGCTGGAACAAGAGCGAATTTGCTGCCGTCGGACAGTGGTGGCTCGAACACGCTGAGCGCTATAGACGCACCAACGAGTTCATCCGCGCACTGAAGGGTATCTGGACCGCCGACGATAATGGTTTTTCATTTGCCGGTGACTTTGTATGTTCCCCATTGCCCTCAAAACTCCAACCCTCCCACTTCACAATACCATTCTTCTTCTTCATTTTGATATTCTAACCTTTCTCCCCACAGTACCAATTCCACGACTACAAACTCGCCCCCAAACCGCTCCAAAAGCCGCACCCGGAAATCTTCCAAGGCGGCAACAGCGACGACGCGCGCCACAACGGCGCAGAGGTAAGCGACTGGTACTTCATGAACGGCAACGACCTAGACGGCTTCCGCGAGCAAATCGCCGACGTCAAGGCTCGGGCCCGAAAGTTCGGCCGCGAAGACAAAGTCCGCTTTGGCGTCAACGGCTTCGTCATCATCCGCGACACCGAAGACGAAGCTATTCGCGTCCTTAAAGAAATCCAGGGCAAAGCCGATGTCGAGGCTGTAGAGGCGTTTCGCGGTGCCGTCCAGCAGGCTGGTGCGAGCACGGCGAACAAAAAGGGTATGTGGGCGAATAGCACCCTCGAGGATTTGGTGCAGTATAATGATGGGTTTAAGACGAAGCTTATTGGGACTAAGGAGCAGATTGCTGATCGCATTTTGCTACTTAAGAGTCTGGGTGTCGATTTGGTGCTTACGGCGCATTTGCATTATGAAGAGGATATTGAGAAGTTTGGTAAGGAGGTGTTGCCGTTGGTGAGGAGGTTGGAGACGGAGGGGAGGGGGAAAGATGTTGAGGATGAGATTAGGAGGACGGGGCATGTGTATCAGAAGGTTGTGTCGTAGTGTTGTGTTTGATTTTTTTTAGTATCAAAAGTCGTGTTGTGAGGACGTGAACAGTTTGCCTTGGTGGTACGAATTTCCAATTTCCAAAATGGCAATAATGATAACAGAAGCGAGAGAGAGAGAAAAAAAAAGGAGAGATGAATGGATACGAGGTACACATGCCTTCGGAGGCAGTAAAACTGATTCCGAATCAAATAGTATACGAAACTCCATATCTCACTCTTACACCCAAAAGACCAAAACTACCAACAACCACTTCCTACATACTCCAGCACCCCAACCCGAATCGTACCCCTCAACAAACAACCCCACTACGATTGCCCCAAAATCCAAATCTCCCCATTACTCGACGTATCAGACGTCATATACAACCTACCCACCCAATCCCACGCCAACCCAGCCGGGCGAAAGCACCCAGAGCTATACCCCGGCCCATTCCCCTGACACTTTTCCACCGCGGGGTTAAAAAACACATCTTGTGCCGCCGTCGTACTAGTCAGCGGTTCCACAGGCGTAAAACCGCCATCCGCACCGCGCTTAAACTTGACAGCCACAAGCTTGAACCCGGTGACGGGCTGGCGATTCCAGCTCCCATGGTACGTAACGTACATTGTCGTACTGTTGGCATCGAACTTGCAGTCGATGGGCGCGGAGTGTGGTTGTAGTGTGAGCTTTGGGGGTGTGGCTTTTTGCACGCAGGTATCGTCGTTGAGGGTGCTGCTGGGGGATTGCGTGAACCAGTCGCCGACTTTGAAGGCTTTGTCGGTGAAGTCGCTGGGTTTCCAGACGGTGAAGCAGGACGGGTAGCCGTACCACGCGTTGTTGGGGAGCGAGACGTCGCCCATGTAGTGGATTTTTTCGCCGGGGTTGTCGTTGTGGATGTCTTTGCCGTTGCGTTTGAAGTCGTCGCCGCTGTTTTCTACGCCCCAGAGCCTATTGGGGTGTTTGTGAGTTTGATATCCCATCAATAAGCTGTGTTGGTGTATTTTTTTTTCAGGTAAAATGACTTACATGTTGTTGCTGTCGAAGCAGATGCCGACTTCGTTGCGCTGTCCGTAACCGGCATTGTAACCACCACTGACGTAGTTGTATCCTCCACTGGGGACATTTGCTAGATTAAAGACTTTGATTATGGCGCGTCCTGTCTTTGGGTCTGATGTAGGTTGATCAATGTTGGAATTGGAGCCATGAGATACAACCAATAGGCTCGAATTCTGGGGTGCAATGGCAAGAGTACGTGTAAGATGTGAGCCACCATTGTACATGCCTGTGACGACAGTGGTCCGGGTTCCGAGGGTACCGGCTGCGGCATCGTATGGCCAAGCATAGACCTGGGTCATGGAGCTTGCATACAGTGTCTTACCATCGTGACTCAAGGCTATGCCGTGATTGAGGTTATTCTGCGATATCAGCATCTTTGTCGAAGTGACACAGCCATCCGCTCCCATCTTGTGATAGGATATGCCCTTGCCAGACTGTATAACGAGCATGTTACCAGCATTGTCAAACTGAATGCTTCGAGGGCTAGTCATTCCACCAGCAATCTTGGTAGCCTTCCATCCTGCTGCCAGGTTGCCTTGGAATGCAGGATTTCCGGCGCCAGAGCAGGAAGCGGGAATGGCAGCAGTTGCTACTGGCTTCGCAGTTGCAGATGGCACAATGCTTGTCACAACTGTCGTCAAGTCAGCGGAAGGACTAGCTATGGGCCCCGTCAACAGATTAGCCCGAACCAAAGAATCGAAATTATTGATCCGCGCAGCATCGAGATTGTGGATCCATTTGCCCCAGGCTTGATGGACGTTAAAGGCCGAATTGTTCCGAGCCGCATCTTCGACCGCAGAAGTACCGTACGCCCAAGCGAATTCCGTTGTGCCGGTACCGTTCAAAGAGTAGCGAGCATCTTCGCTGTTTTGCCATCCAGTGCATCCCTTGCAGAGAGCATTGACAGTCCAGTGGGTAGTATTTGTCCGGGTCCCTTTGAGGTACGTGTGTTCGGCTCCGTCGTACCCAAGGGGCAGACCGATACCACTATACTGTATTAGGGAGTGCCTATTACAACCTGTAGATTGAGACTCACAAGGCGAAACGAGATGATACCACTCCGGACTGACCGTTTGGCCAAGCAACGCTCAGCGGGTTCCAGACCATGTTTCCTCCCCATGAGAAGCCCACCCACTGATTGGTAACTGGAGCAGTAATCCTGATGATGGCATTGTATGGGTCCGTCACATTCTTGGGGAGCGCAACGCCAAAGGTCATTCCTGTCGCCGGCTCCGTGTATGAAGAGTAACTGATTTTCGTTTCTGCATCATATACAACAGTAGATTGTGCCTCACCTTCTTGAGCAAGTGCTTCTCAGTGTTAGAAAATTCCAGTTTTTGAAGCTTGCGATACTCACTGCACCCAAGAAATAAAACAGCACTTCCAATAATCTGGGTGTAGCGCATACTGGATAGACTTCTACGGATAGAGAGTTGTTTACTAAACCTTAGCGATCACTGTCAAGAGGGTGTTTTCCAGCCCTTTATGTGATCAATAGTAATGACGGCGGTAACAACAGAGAGCCACATGATACCACGCTTCCACATCATCCGTGCGCAAATATGCCATCATTCTTTTTGTATATCATAAATGAAAACGTTGAAGACATCCACGGTGGACCTTCGACTGACCAATCTGCGGCCCCGGATCTGTGATCTATGACAACCTAGTTTCACCAGACTGGTTGATCTGGGGCGTTTGGGCGTGCTCGACAGGTTTCAGCCTGAGTATTGTGACAGGATACATCAATTCATTGGTAGCCACTGGTCTTTGGTAGTATAAAGCTGTGTGGTGCACGCTGGAGGCTATTAATTTTGATGAATCCAACCATCAGCTTGATCTGGAATCATATTTGCGCTACTCGGTATTCGTCCATACGGTCTTAATGAGCTGTGCTAAGCTTTCCAAGTCGATAAAAGAGACACGGCAGTTGACACGCGAGGCGGGGCTGTGATACTCAGTAAGTGGGGAGTTTCCATAATAGTGGCTGAACGTTGGTGTGGTGGATCTCGCATTCTTCCATATAACCCGAACCCCCTGGCTTGCACCGATTGTGGGGAACCTATCAGGATATCAACAACTCCGTAGCACATTCACAAGATCGAGAGAACCAAATCGTATCCGAGTTTGAAACTTGAGCATAAGTAGACTGTATCAATGCGGGGTGACCAGAGGGAGGAGATATTGCTGAAGCAGTACATTTGCAATTCCATTTACGGTTACGGCCTGTGGAATTTGGATATAGAACAAGAAATCCCACCGAGAATCCCGAAATCCATCGAACTTTCAACCCGAATTTCCCAGATCAAGCGCGCTTGCTCATAAAGGCATTTCCAAAAGTCCAGAGGCCAAAAGTCGCCAGAATACTCAATCCGATAGGTAGAGGCTTTCCAGACTTGATTGCGCGCGGGATAGAGCTACCAGCCAAGATGACGGAGGCGAGAAGAGCGAGTTCAACACCATAGGCAGCGCGGCTATTGACACGAAGGCCACCGAGGATGTACTATTATGAATGTTTAGATGTTTGATTGAAAGATGAGGCCACGAGATTGGCAAGGGCAAGAGCGCGTACCAGTAAGCCGACAGTGCAACCAGCTGCGATTGAAGGCACAGATCCAGTCCTGACGTATCCGGTAATTCCACCTCCAGCGGTGAGGGTACCGAGGACCAGAGCAATGTTTCCGAGAGAGCTCTATATCTTCCCATCAGCATTTGTTTCTCTCTCAAGCACCTGACTCGTATATGACGAAGCCAAAGGAATCGCCAGAACATCTACTTACCATGATTGCTTTGTATGAACAAGAGACCGGTACGGGTGTTCCAATGAAATGGAATTGGGATAATGCAATCAGTGAATTTCGCGATGAAAGCTTCAAGGAACGCAGCGACGCTTAAGTATCAGTACAATGGGTGTTTTTGCGGGGAAAAGCGGACATCCGAGCACACCGAAGCCCGGCGCGAATGGAGCAAGGCCATTGCCCTCGTCGTAATCCCGCCCTCAGCTCGGGCCAACCACGAACATCTGGCCTCAAGCTTACCTGTGTACCACCCACCAACGACCTCCATCACCCGCAACCCATACACGCCCAATTGCACGCAATAGGGACGCTCGTCTTTCCGCCAGACCTTCCCTTTTTCTCTCGTTTGAAAAACAACAACAAACATAGAATATAGACCATGGCGCCAAAGCAACGCACACCCGGCACCGTAGACACGCCTTCGGCACCTGCACAAGCAGCATCCTCGCGCCCCAGCAAGCCAAACACGACCAACAACACGAGCGCCGCAGCAATCACACAGGGAATATGGGATAAATACGTGACCAAGACTCCGCAGCGAACAAAGCTCCTCGACATCTTCCTCGCCTTCCTCGTCGTAGTCGGCGCCCTGCAATTCGCATACGTAGTCGTTGTTGGAAACTTTGTACGTATTACCCCTTCTCCTCAGACACAGCAGTGCACGCAAAGAGCACAAATAGAATGAAAGAAAGCTGACGAGACGCAAATAGCCATTCAATGCTTTCCTATCCGGCTTCAGCGCAACAGTCGGCCAATTCGTGCTCACGGCTTCGCTGCGCATCCAGACAAACTTGGAGAACAAGGAACATTTTGCGAGTATCTCGCATGAGCGTGCGTTTGCGGATTTCGTGCTAGGGAGTCTATTGTTGCACTTTTTCTGTGTCAACTTTATCAACTAAGGAGAGGAGGAGATTATTGGATGACGGGTGGGGGAGAGAGAAAGAAGCGAAACACGATTGCACGGAGGTTTGATGAAAGATTGCGGCTCTTTATTTTTTTAGAGAGAGAAATGAATGGGGCTTGGAAAATGGGCGTTTATGAACAAAGGGTCTATTCAAACAAGAAAAGAAGAAAAGCTCCGTGTATCGAATATATATTGTAAGAGTACCACAAAACCAACCCTCGGGGATTTCAGTTCAACAAACTGGTAGACCGGGTCAAGTCGATCAGTCTTATCAAAATGTCGAAGAAAGACTCTTTCATCTATTGCTTATGCCCCAACCAGCAAAGCACTCACACACATACACACCTTTTGCTCGCAATCTAGACTTTCAATTCGTCTGTCTTTATCTACTTCTCCTTCGCATACTCGCCCAGCCCAAACTCCTCTCTAACCGCCTCACCCAACCTCCTAATCCCCTCATCAATCTTATCACTCGGCGCCGTCGCATACGTAGCGCGGAAAAACAGCGTATTGTGCTCTTCCTCTGCGTCGGCGTAGAACCAGCTGCCGCGCATAACCAGGGTGCCATGGCCGATGACGCGCATGAAGATGCTTTCCTCGATAGCCTCGATGCTCTTTTCGGGGTACGCGGGGTGTTTTGTGAAGTCTACTTTCATCCAGTGGAACATGCCGGCCATGGGGGGTTTCCACTGCATGACTTCTTGGGGGAGGTGCTTGGCGCAGGCGGCGAGGATGGTGTCGCGGCGCTTGGTGTACTGCATGCGGATGTGGATGAGCCAGTCGAGGTAGCCGGCGTGGCCCCAGTGCTCGTCGAGTAGCTTGAAGAGGACGAGTTGAGAGATGCCAGATGGGTTCTGCGTCGAGACGTCGGCGTATTTGGCGTAGCGCTCAATGATTTGTGCGGGCGCGGTGATCCAGCCTACGCGCGAGCCCGGGGCGATTACTTTGGAGAAGGAGTCCATGCGGATTACGCGGCCGTCGGTGTCCATGGAGAGGTAGCTGGGGACGAGGGATTTGATAAATTCGGCGTGGGAAGAAGGGGGTGGGACGTCGGGTGCATTGGGGCCCGTGTAGGGTTGCATTTGGAGAAAGTAGTAAGGTTCGTCTTCTATGATGTGGATGTCGTGCTTTTGGCACACTTTGTATAGTTCTCGGCGTCGCTCGCCGCTCGATGTTGCGCCAGTTGGGTTCTGTCCTGTAGGCACGGTGTAGAGGAGTCGTGGTTTGCGGGATCCTCGAGCGGTCTGGTCCCAGTTTGAGAGTATGCGGTCCATCTCTGTGGGCAAGAGACCTTCGCTGTCAATTGGCACGCCACATACGCGGACACCCATTGGCCTGGCGGTTTCGACAAAAGCCGAAAATGTGTACTCCTCGGAGAGAACCATGTCACCAGGTCTTGCGAGCATTCTAAGCAACATGTCGGTGGCAGATGTGCTTCCAACTGTCATTGTGCATCTCCAGTCTTCATATGGTGGGTCGTGCACCAGTTCTGTGTGCTCAGTCATGTAGCGCAGAAGCTGTGCTGAGCCTGAGCCCTGGCCATAGTTGAATGCAGTTGCAATGTCGAAAACGGACTTGTTCTCGGCAAGGTCGTGTTTGCCCGCAGTGAGCGTCACTCCAGACTCTTTGGTTTCGGGCTCGGAGAAGTGTCCGACTTTGGGCACTTTGACTGAGAGCTCCTCAAAAGGAAAGTACTCGCTAGAGGGCAGTCCTCCTCCGAGAGATATGAGACCGGGTGTACTGAGAAACTTGGCAGCTTCCTTTAGCGAGTTGCCTTTTCGAATCAGGGCCTCGTTAGTTAAAATGCCTGAGGTCAAGTAAGTCATCATGGCTGCAAGTTGCTACCTGGTCCATAAAACTTACTACTCCACGACTTTGCTTTGGGCTTGTGGTCGTGCGGTTTCAGTCTAAAGTTTGATGTGTCAGACGGTGCTGCTACGCCCCATTGTGCTGCAGTAGTCTTCTTTCTCCTTGCGGGCATCTCATTGCTCTGTATGGGCGCACTCAGAGGGTTCGGAATAGTAATTCCGGATGTGTCCGAAGTGGCGGATACCTCGACTGCAGACGGAGGGGACATTGCGTGCACGGTGCTTTTGGTTGTCCGGCTGTAATGTTTGGCTTGTAGTATGCAGTGATGTAGATGTTTATCTTGGTCCACTTGACTTCTTAATTTGTTTTGATATTGAGGCAAGTGAGTGTAAAAGTAAAGCCCAAATGTCATGGGACGACGTAACGTTTAAAGCTCGTTCTATCGGAATTCAGATACATACTAGTTGGTCATATCGCGCGCCCTACATATGTAGTCCGACGCGTGCCTGTGGAGAAGTGGAGCCGCTCAGCTATACTTTCGGTAACGGCTAGCCACGGGCTGGGGAAGCGACACGAAGCGAGTCCACACAAGCCGCACGCCAAGCTTCTACTATCAATCTTATCATGCAAGCTTCACGCCCTTTGCTGGCGTGTCCATCTCTCAGGCCTGGACATCTCATGGGCTACTCTCGAAACGTCGGCGATGGCCCCTGTGTACCACGGGAATGCGAGCGTTGGTAACGCCGTTGCATGCATGCCGAAAGACGGCCGATGCTGTTGCAGTTCAACACTACGTAAGTTGTGAGCCATTGGCCAATCGGCGCTTTTGAGACGCCGTCACGAGACGTGACACCACGTGCGGAGACAAAGCCGGTAGCACCCGCGCTGAACAGACGATAATCTTTTCTATCCTGCCCTGGATATCTCTTTAGCATGCAGGTACTTCTAGTAGAATGCTGCGACTAGACAATACTGCACAGGTTCCTGCCAAGACTGGCGGGGTATTTTGACGCTCAGATCCAAACGCATGTAGGCAACAAACATACACCAAACTCCATAGATCCACGGCCCCCCTATCAAAACAATCAACCAACTCCATCGTCATGAAAATTAACACCTCAATGTATGCAGTCCCAAGTAAATAAATGCAAGCCGGGTATAGGACAACAGCGGCGGACACATCCTCGAGGCACTCGATGCCTTCTCACATTACCACGCAGTTCTCATCCTTCTCTTTGTCTTTTCCACCTTTTTCTTTTCGCAGCTTGGCGTTTTTGTCGGGAACATTTACTGGTGTTGAAGCCAGAGGATTCGCTTGTCCCGATGCTGCAGCTTGAATGATTGCGAGACGCTGCTTTGCCCTTTCGTCTCCTGAGTCTGCAGCCTTGACGTACCATACGTTGGCTTCCAGAGGGTCCCGACGGCAGCCGATGCCCATTTCTGTAAAGTAACCGCACGCATACTCGGCCTTTGGAAGACCTGGTATTGTTAGTCAACAAATTGTGGACGCAAGGTGACAGATTGCACACTTACCATGCTCAGCAGCCTTCTTGGCCCATTCGTATGCCTCGTTTTCGTCTTTTTCCAGGACGGGTTCAGCACCGACCATGTACCAGGCACAGAGATTCATCATGGCCTCGGGGATGTCGGCCTGGGCAGCGCAGTTGTAGTAGTGGACAGATAGTGCAGCATCCTTGGGGCATCTCAACAAGCCGTGTTCGTAGGCTTCTCCAAGCTTCAGCGCAGCCAGCGGATGGCCCAACTCTGCAGCCTGTGTGAACAGTTGCACTGCGTACACTTCGTCCTTGAAAATGTCGTCTCCGTAGCCTGTCTCGTGCAATAGACCTAGTTCGTAGGGCGCGACGTTGTACTGGAAGTCAGCTGACTCGGAGGCTCGCTTAAGCCACTTGACGCCCTCCCGGTACTTGTTCTGAAGACCCATATCGCCAGTCAAACACGCCTTTCCAAGTCGAGTGGCAGCTCCAGGATGGTTTTTGGACGCTGCAGCGCGGTAGAACTGGACAGCTTTGGCGTAATCTTTGCGACAACCCCATCCAAACTCATAGCAGAGCGCGGCACGGAACGCTGACTCCGCATGGCCGTGCTTACTGGCAGCGATGAATAGCGGAAAGGCTCGATCGTGGTCGGGCTTATCTTTGTTGAACAGACCTGATGCATATCCATCTGCGAGATAGTACTGTGCAAACGGGTAACTGCGGTCGGCTAGTTTCTGGAGAATCTGGCGCGCTTCTTTTAACAATTCTACCGACGA